TCCCCGCCCCGCCAGGTCCCCTCCCGGTGCTCTCTGTCCCCTCCCGGTGCTCCCGGTCCCCCCCCGCCCTCACCGTCCCCTCGGGCCGCTCCAACCGCCGCTCCCGCCTCAGCCCGCTGCCGCTACGAACTGACGTCACGTCCGGCGGCGCGCCGTGCTGACGCCACTTCCGGCGGCGCGCGCCGAAACCATCGAGGCGAGCGCGCGGAAAGGGAGGGGAGGAGGCGCTCTGGGATCATAGAGACGAGCCGGGTCCTCCAAAGGCCTGCTGGGTCCGCCCAGGTGAGCCGGGACACCTGGAAAAGGCTCCAGGCGCTCCCGGGAACACCGGGAACGCCTCCGGGATCATCCCCGAGCTTCCCGAATGCCCGGACAGCGGCTCCGGGTCCTTCCCGGGCTGCCACGCTCACCCGGGCGCCTCCAGGTTCTCCCAAAATTCCCTCCCGTGCTCCCCGTTCCCTCCATCCCAAAGGATTCTCCCGAGAGGATCCTCAAAGAGAACAAAGGAGGCGATTCCGGCCCAATGTCGGGGCAAAAAAAGGGGATTTTTATTAAATTTATGGGAATAATTACAGATACAACAGGCCACAACACGAGGAAGAGAAACACGGGGGAAAGAGATGGAATTTGGGGAAAAAATAGGAGTTTTGGAATGAAAAGGACGGATTTAGGGGTAAAAATGAAAGGATTGGGTCACACAGGAGGATTTGATGGCAAAATATAAAAAAATCTGAGGGGAAAATATGAGATTTTGGAGCAAAATCCGGATTTGGGGGTACAAGGGAGGGAACCAGGGCAAAGGAGAGGAATCTGAGGATTTTGGGATAAAAACAGGGATTTGGGGAAAAAATAACGGTGAAATCCCGAGAAAATAAAAGGGTTTAGGGCAAAAGTTAAAAATTTGGGAGGAAAAGAGAAATTTAGGGAGAAGAAAAGGGAATTTGGGGAAAAAAAAGGGAAAATTCCTCTCCCATTATAGAAATAAACCAATTCCCGCCCAAAATGCAAATTAACACGGACCTAATTTGCATAGGGGAAGGGCATAGTGATAACCCCGCCCACATGCAAATGAGCATCTCAGACCACGCCCCTCGTTGTTTCAACACGGGGGGATGAAATTCGGGCCCCATTTTTGGGGTACAACCGCGGGATTTCGGGGTTTTCCCGCTCTGCCACAGATCCTTCCTCGGGGGGAGGAGCTCAGCGCCATTTTGGGGGGATTTTGGATTTTGGGGGGGGGGTCCTGACCCCCCCCTCAGGCCTCGTCCTCGGTCAGGAGCAGATTTGGGACCCCCCTGGAGATGGGGAAGCGGCGCCCCGAGTCCGGGCACTGCAGGGACCCCTCCAGCACCTCCACCTGCGGGGGGGGGGAGGAGAAATTGGGGGTCAAAAGGGGGGTCCCTGAGATTCGGGGACCCCCCCTCAGGGGGTTTTGGGGACCCCCCTGACCTCGAGCAGGACGTGGTGGAGGCGGCGCAGGAATTCCTCGTCGGCCTCGTAGCCGGGGGTGGGCTCGGGGGGCAGCTCCGAGGGGTGCCCCAGCTTTGGGGGGGCACAAAAATGAGGGGGGGGGGTCAGACGGGATCGCTGAGTGGGTCCCCA